CATAGATCAATGGAACAGGATAGAGAGACCAGAAATGGACCTTCAACTCTATGGTCAACTAATCTTTGACAAAGCAGAAAAGAATGTCCAATGGAAACAGTCTCTTCAATAAATGGTGTTGGGAAAATTGGACGGCCACATGCAGAAGAATGAAACTGGACCATTTCTTTACACCACACACAAAAATAGACTCAAAATGGATGAAAGACCTAAATGTGAGACAGGAATCCATCAAAATCCTAGAGGAGAACACAGGCAGCAATGTCTTTGACCTCAGCCGCAGCAACTTCTTCCTAGAAACATCACCAAAGGCAAGGGAAGCAAGCGCAAAAATGAACTACGGGGACTTCATCAAGATAAAAAACTTTTGCACAGCAAAGGAAACAGTCAACAAAACCAAAGACAACTGACAGAATGGGAGAAGATATTTGCAAATGATATATCAGATAAAGGGCTAGTATCCAAAATCTATAAAGAACTTATGAAACTCAACACCCAAAGAACAAATAATCCATTCAAGAAATGGGCAGAAGACACGAACAGACATTTTTCCAAAAGACATCCAAATGGCCAACAGACACACGAAAAAGTGCTCAACATCGCTCTGCATCAGGGAAATCCAAATCAAAACCTTAATGAGATACCACCTCACACCAGTCAGAATGGCTAAAACTAACAAGTCAGGAAACAACCGGTGTTGGCAAGGTTGCGGAGAAAGGGGAACCCTCCCACACTGTTGGTGGGAATGCAAGCTGGTGAAGCCACTCTGGAAAATAGTATGGAGATTCCTTAGAAAGTTGAAAATAGAGCTACCCTATGACCCAGCAATTGCACTACTGCGTATTTACCCCAAAGATACAAATGTAGGGATCCGAAGGGGTACGTGCACCCCAATGTTTATAGCAGCAATGTCCTCAATTGTCAAACTATGGAAAGAGTCAAGACTTCCACCAACAGATGAATGGATAAAGAAGATGTGGTATATATGTACAGTGGAATATTATGCAGCCATAAAAAAAAACAAAAACAAAAAATGAAATCTTGCCATTTGGAGCAACGTGCATGGAACTAGAGGGTATTATGCTAAGCAAAATAAGTCAATCAGAGAAAAACAAGTATCATATGATCTCACTGATATGAGGAATTCTTGATCTCCCGAAACAAACTGAGGGTTGCTGGAGTGGTGGTGGGTGGGAGGGATGGGGTCACTGGGTGATGGACTTTGGGGAGGGTATGTGCTATGGTGAGTGCTGTGAATTGTGTAAGACTGATGAGTCACAGACCTATACCTCTGAAACAAATAATACATTATATATTAACAAAAAAAAAAGAAGATAGTAGGAAGGGAAAAATGAAGGGGGGAAATTGGAGGGGGAGATGAACCATGAGAGACTATGGGCTTTGAGAAACAAACTGAGGGTTTTAGAGGGGAGGGCAGGGTGGGGAGATGGGTTAGCCCAGTGATGGGTATTAAGGAGGGCACGTATTGAATGGAGCACTGGGTGTTATATGCAAACAATGAATCATGGTACACTACATCAAAAACTAATGATGTAATGTATGATGACTAACATAACATAATAAAATAAAATTAAAAAAAATTTTTTTAAATTAAAAAAAATAAATATTACATGCACTTTATCTTTTTAAATACTAGTTTCTCCTAAGATTAATAACATTAGAAATATCCAGACCTGAGATGCGTAATCAGTACTCTTGTCTTTTGTGAATGTAAACTCTAGAATTAAATTCATCAAGTCCCTGGGTTGTGCAATTAAAATATTATGGAAATTTGGAAAAGGTTCAGTTTACTCATACTTACTAAACAATCTGTAGAGCTTCAATAGTACTTGGTAAAGGGGATGAAGTATTCTAAAATGAAGGGAACGGATGGTATATTCACACTACTTCAATTCAGGAAGGGAATAGACAATCAGATTTACTCAGTAATTTCCATTTCTAGCCACTATGTATTTTGTCCACATTATACATACATTAAGAATATTTGCTCAAAAACTAGGATTTTGGGGGCACCTGGATGGTTCAGTCAGGTAATTGCTCAACTCTTGATTTTGGCTCAGGTCCCAATCTCAGGGTCATAGGATTGAGCCCCATATCAGGCTCTGCACTCAGCAGAGAGTATGCTTCTCTCCCTCTCCCTTTGCCCCTGCTCTCTCTCTCTCTCTCTCAAAATAAATAAATAAATCTTTAAAAAAAAACACTTCAGGATTTTAATTTTACAAAATCTTTCCTGTTGTTTACCTATTCAACAATGACAGCGATAAGACCATAAATGGTATCATCATTGTACACAGCTAATTTTGCAAAAACTTTGGACTTGAAGGCAGGCACATATATAAGTATGAAATCAACTGTAATTAAAAAAAAGATCTCATTCTCAAATGGATGCCTTTAATAACTGCACCTAGATGGATGTGTTAATTGACTCCGTGGGAGAAATCCTTTCATGATGTATATCAAATCATCATGTTGTACAATTAAAATACCTTACAATGTTATTTGCCCACTAATTCTCAATAAGGCTGGAAAAAAACCAATTGTACCTAAACAACTTGAACAACATTACAATTTTTTATTGTTATGTTAATCACCATACATTACATCATTAGTTTTTGATGCAGTGTTCCATGATTCATTGTTTGTGCATAACACCCAGTGCTCCACGCAGAATATGCCCTCTTTAATACCCATCACAAGGCTAACCCATCCCCCCACCCCCCTCCCCTCTAGAACCCTCAGTTTGTTTTTCAGAGTCCATCGTCTCTCATGGTTCGTCTCCCCCTCTGACCTACTCCCCTTCATTCTTCCCCTCCTGCTATCTTCTTCTTTTTCTTTTTTCTTAACATATGTTGCATTATTTGTTTCAGAAGTACAGATCTGTGATTCAACAGTCTTACACAATTCACAGCGCTCACCATAGCACATACCCTCCCCAATGTCTATCACCCAGCCACCCCATCCCTCCCACCCCCCACCACTCCAGCAACCCTCAGTTTGTTTCCTGAGATTAAGAATTCCTCATATCAGTGAGGTCATATGATACATGTCTTTCTCTGATTGACTTATTTCACTCAGCATAACACCCTCCAGTTCCATCCACGTCGTTGCAAATGGCAAGATCTCATTCCTTTTGATGGCTGCATAATATTCCATTGTGTATATATACCACATCTTCTTTATCCATTCATCTGTCGATGGACATCTTGGCTCTTTCCACAGTTTGGCTATTGTGGACATTGCTGCTATAAACATTGGGGTGCACGTACCCCTTCGGATCCCTACATTTGTATCTTTGTGGTAAATACCCAGTAGTGCAATTGCTGGATTGTATGGTAGCTCTATTTTCAACTGTTTGAGGAACCTCCATACTGTTTTCCAGAGTGGTTGCACCAGCTTGCATTCCCACCAACAGTAACATTACAATTTTTTAATGAGTTATATTCAACTAAAATTAACAGGCTTTTCTACATCTTCCTGAGACCTATTTCTATTAATCCCAATCTTGCTGCAAACACAAAGAATTTAGAAGCGTATACTAAAAAAAATAGACAAGTTCATTTTCATATGTGGTAAAAGCATCTTTTTAAAAAAGCTCATTAAGGCAGGGATTAACAACAACTATCTTTTTTTTTAAAGATTTTTTATTTATTTATTTATTTATTTATTTAGAGCCAGAGAGAGAAAGCACGTGTGAAAATGGGAAGGGGCAGAGGGACAGGCAGAGAGAGAAACTCAAGCAGACCCCACACTGAGTGCAGAGCCCCATGTGGGGCTCAATCTCACAAACCTGAGATCACAATCTGAGTCGAAACCAAGAGTCGGACGCTTAACCGACTGTGCCACTCAGGTGCCCCACAACTATCTTTTGACTTTAATCCTAACCTGTCCCCTTTCATCGAGGCACATGGGCACTTCTATGCTTTCTCGGTTAGTGGCATTGTATTTTCACACGAATGTCTCATGCTAGGGAATTCTGATACTATAATCCAAGAGGCCGAACTCCCATGTCATCAACATAGCTGCCAACGTTCGGAGATCTTGCTCTGGGCATCCTGCATCCTCAACCCACCTGTACCTTTGAATTTGATGAAGCCTTTTAGTACCTTTTCACTGAAACTAATATATCCTAGATATGGTTAGGAAGAAGCATATAAAGGCTCAGGAAATTTCCCAATTAAGTGCAACTTTACTTTTTTGCTTAAACAACCTGCAAAACGTTTTGCCAAGAGTTCAAGGAAACATCCTATAAGATAACTACCTTCTGAAGAAAAAATTATATCCATGCTTTAAAACAAATAACATTACAGCAATAACACTGCCACATTAAATTACTTAAACTAATGATGGCTAAGCTATACCAGGAACTTGTTTGGGTTTCATTCATTCATTTATTCCAACAAATACCTCTTGAGTGTCTATTACATGGCAGGTCCAGTCTCTGGGGAAACAGCACAGAATAAGTAGCAAGACCACTGTTCTAATGGACTTTACATTCTAATCCAGTAAAGGTGGCAACAAATAAATAAATATTGAAGAAAATATTAGCAAGAATTTTCTAGATGTTGATAGGAAATGGCTGGGAGGCTATACCAGATGGGGCGATCAGGGAAAGTATTTCCAAGGAAGAGGAGGAAATGATTGGGAAGCAGCACTGGGAAACACAGAAGACACACCCACCTTTCCGACAGGGCCTGAGATGTGTGGGTTAGCAACAGAAAAAAATTTTTTCCTCCAGAAGGTTCCTGGGAGGTAGTGTTATTGAATGATAGTCACATTTTAGTCAGGTTTTACAAGATGGTAAAGAGAACAATCAGAGAATAGGCTAAGAGTATGTGAAATTTACTGAGGAGATCCTGAGTTCCCAGGAGCACAGAGGAAAAGGTTGAATCCATGGGACTGATAAATAATTTCTTTTTTATTAAAAATTTTTTTCGAGGTTAATGAGTAAATTGTAAAGTATTACCTGTTTATCTCCTCACCTGTGTTTCCTTTTGCAATACACCAGAAGATTATCAAAAAGAAAAAACACCCGTTCTTGAATATTTCCAGAAGAAATTTTCAGTAAGACGCCACACATTAGCATCTCAGTGCAGGTGTCGGTGATGTTGGATCCCTAGGTCAAAAAAAAAAAAAAAATGGAAACAATGTTTGATTACTTAACAGAAACTTTTGTGTGTAATTCTATTTCTCCTTAAAAGTCTGTTTGTTTTTATTTCAAGATACAATATATGGACAGGATAAAGGTTGAAACACCAGAAATATTTATACACTGGATGGAGGTCTTCTTCCCTCCCAGATTCCTGGTCAGTCTCAGCAGATACAACTGTGGTTAAGAGATTCTGTGTCTTCTTTAAGCTTTCTCACACATGTGTGCATACATAAGCATGGATGATACATGTTACTATGTTCTTTTAAAAGGAGATGATTTCAAAGTGATGCATAACATTCATGTCCCTAGTACTCCTCTTCTCCTCCTCTCTTTCCCTGGTAGGGGAAAAGAGTTCCATGGATACATCGTATCCATGGAGTACACAAAGTTCTCTAAATTTTTAGCAGAAGTTCTCTAAATTTTTAGCAGGTCTCAATTTATTTATCCACTCCTAGGATTGATAGGAAGAAAAAAGAAGAAATTAAAGGGGAAAAAAAAAACTATTTAAAGAGAGCAACCTTCCATAGAGCCTTTTACCCAAGTTAAAAGTTAGCATAAGCATAATCATTCATTAAATGAGCCTTCACTGAGTGCACACTAAGGTCAGATGATTAGTGACAAAACTGGGTCTTAACACAAACGCTAACCATTGAGAGGAGCCACAAGATGGAAGGAGCCTGAATCACAAACAGAGGAAAGGTGCACAATGAAGCAGAGCACAAGCATTGGATTGTTGTGTGAGCTGATCAAAAACATCTAATTTGAGCCATTATAAATGTGGCCATCTATTTGTCTCTACAACCTAAACTATCACAACTAATGCACTGAGTTAGACAAAAAAGAAAAAAAAGTTTTCAGTAGATAGCTGTTAAGCATGCTCTGCAAGAATACTTCTATTTTCAATATGTCTGCTCTCTTTAAATCCAGGGATAAATTTCTGACTCTTTTTAAACTTAATGCTTTTATTTTTTATTTTTGATATTTAACAATCAGACAATTAATTTCGTACTTCCACAGTAATCATTGATATAGTTTTTCTGATTGATTATAAAAATTTAAATTATGGTGACAACTGACACCTGTCAATAAGAAAGTTCCCAAATTGGAAATTAAAAGAATGTGATTGTGTTGAGTGTCTATATTACACACACATTTTATTTATTTCTTATTTTTTTATTTTTTTACTAACTTTATTTTTTTTAAGATTTTATTTATTTATCTATCAGAGAGGGGGGAGAGAGAGAGAGAGAGAGAGAACACAAGCAGGGGAGCAGACTCTCCGCTGAGCAGGGAGCCCGATGTGGGGCTTGATCCCAGGACCCTGGGATCATGACCTGAGCCGAAGGCCAACGCTTAACCGAATGAGCCACCCAGGCGTCCCTATGCACACATTTTATTTTTTGTTTTTATGTTTAACTTAAGTATTTTGTTTTATTAAGTTTTTTTTATTTTAATTCCAGGAGAGTTAACATACAGTGTTATACTAGTTTCAGGTGTACAATAGAGTGACTCCGCAATTCCATACCTTACTCAGTGCTCATCATGGTAAGTGTACCCTTAATCCCCTTCACCTCTTTCATCTATCCCGCCACCCACTCCCCTCTGGTGACCAGCCATTACAAAATATTTTAGATTCAAGACATTTCCTTTTCTTTTTTTTCTTTCATCATAAAGATGGACATATAACTAGAGATCTATTAAAAATTTACACAATTTCATATCCTTCATCAGGTGATAATTAAGTAAAAACTGTCATCAAATATGAATATAAATCCCAATTTTAGTGGCAATGATTTCTTATTTAAATACTATCCCTACCTCAGAAAAAAATTAAGATAGAATAGTATTAAAAATGTAAACAAGGAAACATCACATTGATTCTTGCACAGGGAACTATACGATGTTATGGAGGTGGCTTTACTGGTAACAATTTTACAAAAGGTACAAAATACTTCACCTTAGACTATTTCTCATAGTAGCCCAAAAAAGTAAAGCAAAGAAGCAAACTTGTTATCTTATTAAATGGTAACTGCAGATGTTATTCTAATTTGCGTATTAACCAGTCTTCCAAATAAGTTCCCAATATAATTATAGGTAGGTATTAGTAGATGCATTCCTACTTGACAAAAAATCTTTTTTTTCAAAAGATTTTATTTATTTGAGAGAGAGAGAGAGAGAGTGAGCAAGCAGGAGTGGGGGGGAGGGGCAGAGGGACAGGGAGAGGGAGAAGCAGGCTCCCAGCTGAGCAGGGTGGCAGATGCACGGGGCTCAATCCAGGACCCTGAGATCATGACCTGAGCCAAAACCAACTTAATCGACTGAGCCACCCAAACACCCCCATACTTGAGAGAAATCTTAACTATACATTTCCGACTTGTTTGTGATTATAATCTTTATTAATAAATATAAGAAGAATTTAATGTAAATTAGTATAGTGGTTAGAGGCCACTTATTCCATCCCTTTACACAGTCTCACAGGAGCTATTGTTCAAGCTCTGAAGAACTCACGGGGACTAATGTGTAAAATAAAAAATAGGTATATTATTCTTGACCATAAAAATACCTGACATCCACACCGAATGTTCCCATAAGTATGGCCAACACAATCTCCCTTTGTAAACTTCCTATTTGGAAAGCTGTATTATAATCAGAGAATCCTGACACAAGCCAAAAAAAAACAACTCACAACCAGACAGTAACAGAGGAAAGGACACGATTGCTGACCACCACTGAGAGTTTGACCCCTGACCATACCCCAGACTTTTCCCTGCTTTGTCTTCCTGTGACCTGTCTGCATGTTATTTGAATTGCTCTCCACCATCAAGTTCTTGTTTGTTCATACCTTTTATCTTGTCAGTGCCGCAAAGACTTTCTGATGAAGTCATGCTTCCCAGTTGAGAAAAGCTGTCTCCTGTCCTGTGAACAGACTGAACTGAAAAGCAGGGCCATGCTGGCTAGCTAGCTTCCCATAGGTCAGGTGTTGGGGAGACTGAGCACTGCCCGTCAGCAGCTGTACCTTTGATTTCTAATAAAAAAGCCAATTTTATAGCAGGAAGCTTGCTCAGATGGTAGCATTAGACAAGTCAGAGGCATGCCTGGACTATTAGAGGAGGGCCTTCAACAGAACGTATAGATGGGGCTGCAGTTGTTCATTTATATACCAAGAGGAGAGAGGGAGGGAGGGAGAGAGAGGGCAGAAAAAAGGAAGGAAGGAAGCAGGGAGGGCAGGGAGGATATTTTAGTGAACTAGACTTAAGAATTAGAGCAGTTTGAAAGCAATGAGCTAGCACAATCTACCACCTGGACAAGACCATTCAAAGTCTGTCTCTCTGTGTGTCTCTCTCTCCATGCTCTCTCTCTTCTCGGCTTCCACTACAAACAAATCACACTTCTGAATGACTCCTTTGATTCTGTAGCTATGTTCATGCCTTCTAACCAATGCAGAAAAGAATAATAGTACTTAACTTATTCACAGAATTAATAGACAATATATATAAAACTGCCAGCACAATGCCTAGCACAGAAAAGGACTCAGTAAAGGCTAGTACAATTAACATTGCTGACTTTGAAGATGATTTTCTTCTTCAAGGAGACTTCACTTATTTCTGACCTCTGCTGTGGTTCACTCTATGTTGATTTTTATGCTTTAACTCGTTGAAGACAGTGTTATTTCTGATTCTCTAGTTTTTGAGGGTAGACACATCTTGTTGCCTCAGAGAACACTGACTTTTGCCCTGACAAAAAAAAGGCCTTCTAGCCTATTCTTGAACACGTCTAGTAAAATTAAGTTCATTCCCTCTTAAGAAAGCTATTTCTTTACTTAGCCACTCTAATTATTAGAAAAATTTTTCTATTCGTAGAACCAAAATCTACTTCCCTTTCTACTCACTGACTCTACTTCTGCCTCCTGGAAGTAGAGGAATACCCTCTTCATTATGACAGGCCTGGCTCTCCAGTATCTGAAAATAGCCAGTACACTTCCCTTCTGTCTTCCAAGCTAGATAACTAGCATTGCTTTTGACCATTCTTCCTATGGCTTGATTTGAGAAACCTGCAAGATCCCTGAAGATCTCCTCTGAACCTTCTCCAGTTTGTCAGGCTCTCCCTTAATATGTAACACCTCTGGAAGTGAGCACAACCACTCGGATGTGAGCTAGCAAATAAATCATATAGTGATTTATTTATTTATTTATTTTACTATTACTCCAGTCCCCTACAATACATATCTTGATACCATAAGATTATAGTAGCACATTTATGGCAATCCCATCTTACAACTAATTCAAAGTGCTCCATTAGTCAGCAAAGCATCTCGATCATTTTCCTCTATCGTATACTTAAATAGTTTGACTTTTTTTTTTTTTTAAGATTTTATTTATTTGCGAGAGAGAGAGTGAGAGACAGAGAGCACGAGAGGGAAGAGGGTCAGAGGGAGAAGCAGACTCCCCGCTGAGCAGGCAGCCCGACGCGGGACTCGATCCCGGGACTCCAGGATCACGGCCTGAGCCGAAGGCAGTCGCTTAACCAACTGAGCCACCCAGGTGCCCCAATAGTTTGACTTTTGAATGATTTAATCTAGATTGGTATCATAGCAAACTCTCAAACCCCTCACTAATATACAAATACATTGTGTTTTGGGGCACCTGAGCCGGAGCACCGGCTCAGTCGGTTAAGCATCTGCCTTCAGCTCAGGTCATGATCCCAAGGTCCTAGTATGGAGCCCTGTGTCAGGTTCCCTGCTCAGTGGGGAGCCTGCCTCTCCCTGCCCACCACTCATGCTCTCTCTCGCTATCTCTCTCTCAAATAAAAAAAATTTTTTTTAAAAATCTTAAAAAAAGGGGTGCCTGGATGGCTCAGTTGGTTAAGCGACTGCCTTCGGCTCGGGTCATGATCCCGGAGTCCCAGGATCGAGTCCCGCATTGGGCTCCCTGCTCAGCAGGGAGTCTGCTTCTCCCTCTGACCTT